GTATTGTAATTGTTAACATTTTCATCTTTTGAAAATCATTTGAAGTTCTCTCTTGTGTTCATCAATCTTCATTACTGTGTTCTTATTGATTTCTAYKKTGRYTGATTCATATCTTTTCCGCTGCATTATCCCTGTCAAACAGATCATCCAAGTAAGTAATTAATACCAAGAAACCGAGTTAATCGATCCAACAGACATTGAGAAACAATTGGTTGAAAACCTTGTCTTTGCTCTTTACAACTGGTGGATTTAAACATGGACTATTCTAAGAGAAATTAGGATGGTTTTTTCAACTGGATTTGTAGGTGTTTGAAAACTGGCAGGTATATTGTGCACATAGTTCATAGATTCAGAGTTAAGGCTGCACCGGTTAAAAGTATGACTTTCACCATAGTACACACATTAAACAGGCAAGGATTCAGAAACAACTACTGTAGCAACAGTATTATCAGCAGGGACAACCAAGTTTTTCAACAAGCTAATCTTTGCTCTTAGTTGTGCTGTAAGAGCATTATAAGGATCTATTTCATGAATTTATGTTGCCTTTCTGAGTATTATTTTTGTAGGACATGTCCAATGACCATTGTTGTTAGAAATTTTCTCCAAAATATCAAAATCGTCATTGTAGGTACTGGAAGTAAAGGCTCCACATGCAGTAGCCTCTAACATTTGTTTAGCAGTGGTATGAAGACCATTGCAAAATGTTTCCAACTGTATGCAGTAGAGTATGCCATGATGTGGGAATTTCCTTAGTAATTCCTTATACATCTCCCAAGCATCAGAAACTGTTTCATCGTCCAGTTGTTTGAAAAGAAAATTTTCATTTCTAAACTTGGCACTCCTGGTTGGGGGGAAATATTTTTTTAAAAACTTCTCAGTCATCTCATTCCATGTGGTGACTGAGTCTGGTTGCAAATAGTTATACCAGACTTTGGATCTGTCTCTTAATGTAAAAGGAAATAACTTCAACCTTAAGGCTTCATCATAAATTCCATTAAGATGGAAAGAGTCCATAAAAGATCTAATATACAAATGAGGACCTTCAGATGATAATCCATCATATTGACCATTTGTTTGTAACATGTGAAACATGATGGGCTTAAATTCAAAGTGGTCACCATCAATAGGGAGCCTACATATTCCAAGGTGTAATTGATTTAACATTGGAATAGTATAGTCCATGATGCCACCAGTCTTAGAATTTACAAGTCTAATAACCTCCTCCTCAGGATTAGGTCTTGGATCAAGTCCGAGTTGAGCCATTTGAGGAGTAGCTAAAATAGGCAACAAATTTTTTTGTACCCTTCTTCTCCTTCTAAATGTTCTTTCAATGTCTGGATCTAATTCAAAAATAGTCCTGTGAGTTATTCTTAGCCCGACAGCGGCACCAAAAACTTGGTGTATGGGTAATTATACCTTTAAAAGGCTATAATAACAAGTAAATCATGCAAGTATATGTGGCTTACAAGTATTCGTCCAAAGCAAGTAATAATGATAAGTAATACTTAAAAATCATTCCACAGAGATTTAAAATACAAAGAGAGTCAAAAAGTTAATTTAAAATGAGATTTCAGAAAAGGGGTTTTCGGAAGCAATAAAGATTTAGAGAGAAAATATCTTTGAGATAGTTGGTAACCAAATACTGAGATATAACAATAACTAAAAGATAGTATGAATGCAAGATCAGGTTGGATTTCAGCAACAAAGTGTAGTGAATATGCTACATAAATAGCTCTCTACAACACTACTGGATTGAACAGCCTTACAAGGAAGTATAGATTAGACCATATGTTGGAAGTGCACTTGATGATGCATCAATTCTAAACTAGTACAAATCTTGTCTTTCTTTACATATAGTTTTGCAACCCATAAGATTATTACGACTCTTTATAGCCTCTATAACACACTTAGTAAATATATTTGTGTTGTCTTAATTTTAAGTCCAACTCATCTTTATAAAATAACATGTGTCAATTTGTCAAAGATTACCAAATGAAATATTGATACCACTTGTGAATAGTGAAATAAGTTGCTATTAGCAAAGCAATCATTAACTAACACTTGGCTTAATCTCACAACATTCACTTAGTGCTTAAAAATAAATAACATAAATGGAAATGACTGAATGTAATTGATGTAAAAGTAAATTCTGCAAGAGAAGTAAAGAGACAGCCGGAAAGGTTGTTGTAGCAACTGACAGTGACGAAAAACACTTAAAAGTACTTGCAAAATAATATTTAAAAATAACAAGGACCCAAAGCTTAGATGAAGCTTTGTTCCTGATCACAAAGTGATATTGTTCAAAATGCACACTAGTTACACTTTTTTAAACAAAAGACTGCCCCTCATATATATACTAGCAAAGGGGAATCAAAAGTATTGAAGGATAATAACCATTGGTCATTAACGAATGGGTAATACAAAAGATCCCCTCGTACAAAAGACACTTAAGTATAAAAGGTTAAGGTATCTTTGCAGTGGCATCTTCTATCAAAATCGCCTACTATCAATACTAGAATATGCCCTACTCTAAAATTTTGACTTTTCAAAATATTCAACGAGATTGAGCCAGTTGTGCCAATATGCAATGTCCAGTGCTGTAGCAATGTACACACCTGCTACAGCAATGCTTGTATCATCATTTCATTCACCAAATACATAAAATAGAACCACTCCTGCATCCTATCTCCAATGAATGTGAAACCATAAAATAAGACTAAAAGACTCAATATAGGATTGGAAAAGGTATAAAATGAAGTGAAATAAAGTTATAATTAGTTGCTAAAGTGTATGCTTTTGCAAATTATCATCTATCATAGATCAATCAGTGGCATTTATACTTATCTACTTCTTTATGTTGATAACTTGTTGATAGCTTGTAAGGATCGATCTAAAATCTTCCTTTGAAAGATAGGTTGAAATCAGAATTTGAAATAAAGGATCTCAGTGAAGTTCGTGTTATTCTCGGCATGGAAATTGTTCGGGACAGAAAGTCTCGTACTCTTAGGTTGACATAACAGGACTATATTCAAAAGATTGTGAAGCGGTTTAATATTGATGGAGCAAAGTCAGCGTCTATGCCACTTACAAGATGATTGTCCGCTAAACGATACTGGAAGAATTGAGATGGCAAAAATTACGTATGCTAGTGCAGTCGGGAGTCTCATGTATGCTATGGTATGTACTCGTCCCGACCTTGCACATTCTGTTAGAGTAATTAGTCGGTTTCTATCGAATTAGGGTAAGTCACATTGGGTAGCAATGAAAACTATATTTCATTATTTGAAAGGTAGAGAAACTCACATTCTCATTTATGGTATGCAAAACAACTGTGATATTGTTGGTTACTGCGATTCATATTATGCAGGTGATCGTGTTAGTTGGAAATCCACTTCTGGTTATGTTTTTACATTAGGTGGAACAACTGTCAGTTGGAGATCTCGGTTACAGTCTGTTGTCACATTATCAACAACAGAAGTTGAACTTGTTGTGGCAGTGGAGTCTGTTAAAGAAGCATTTCATTTACAGGAACTCTTGGTTGATTTTGGCTTGAAGCATTCTACTGTCCGGATTAATTGTGATAGCCAGAATGCGATTCACTTGGCTACAAATTTGGCGTTCAGCTCTCGTAGAAAGCACATTAATGTGTGGGATGCGTTTTTGGTAGCTTTGAATGATGCAAAAGTGATGTACTTGAAGAAAATCATCACTGAAGATAATGTTGCCGACATGTTCACAAAATCGTTACCACCAGAAAAATTCAAGCATTGCTCGAATTTGATCCAACTTAAATTGTGTTAGTATCATTCGACACCTTGTGGGAGATATGAGAATATTACTACAGATGGCATAACGACATCTTTGTGGTGTTACTACTTAGTACGTGTTTTGGGTTGCTTAACTCGTTCCATTTTATTGAGATTGCACACTTGCATATTTTTTTGCTTTTGGCTTTGATGGGCGATGGCTGAGCCGAAGCTCGTCACGGTCAAAATGCAATTTGTCACCTCGTGTCAATCTCTATCACCTATTATTCGTGTTCGTTGGGTTGGTTCGTATTTTGGTTTCACCGGGTGATTTGCATATCACGGTGGAGTGTTGAAAAACTTAACTTTTGGTAAGTTTTTAGGATGTTGTACAACTCACGAAGCTGAAGGTACAAGTGGTCAATGTATAGGTTAAAATAAATATTAACTACATACTGATGGGATCTCAAGTTTCCAACAACATGAATGTGCCGCCCACCTACTTTTGTCTACGTCTGCCCAAGCTATTTTGAAGGCACATGCATGAAATCATCAACATGCATGCAACTTGCCAATTTGCCATGCATAGAAGGGGGATGCGGCCTATTTCTCTTACATATAAGCATATAAGTATATATACTTTTATATATATATATATGTATATACTCATGCACACAAACATATATATATATATATATACTTATATATGAGAGAAATAGGCGACAACCCCTTTTCATGCATGGCAAATTAGCAAGTTGCATGCATGTTGATGATTTCATGCATGTGCCTTCAAAATAGCTTTATATATATATATATATATATATATATGTGTGTGGGATGTAAATCAAAACGATATAACACCACCAAGTTTCTTTCTTCCATTTGTTTCTCCTCTCATCATATTTTTGTTATATATATATATATATATATATATATATATAACTTTGTTTTGGGAAAACTTTTGGTAGCTGATTCGTTGATCCAAGGATCTCATAAACACGTTGTAAATTCTCCCGGTTAGTAACAAATCAATCTCTCTCTCCCTATGGACGTACACTATCACCTCGATAGTGGAACCACGTTAAATCTCGTTATCTCGATTTACGTGCCGATTTTATATTTAATTGTATACTTGATATAACTGCTAATTTTACATGTGTGGATCAGTTTGAATTGTTAGACCATAACATACAATATTTAGATCTAGTTAATCCGCATTTGTTGTATTGGGTCAGTTGGCACTATGATTTATTGTTATCACTTTGGAACCATAAATCACTTTGTAATACGATACTCTAACTGTGAATGACCCAACAGATACTTCATAGTATTTACTGATGACTTGAGTAGTTTTGAAAATGTTTTCTTGTTATGATATAAGCATGAAGCTTTTGAAGGGTTCAAAATGCAAAATGAAGTCAAAAAGCAACTTGGTACGATAGTAAAATCCGTTCGAACAAATGAATATGGTTAATACTTAAGCTAGAATTTGATGTTCATCTAAAGAATTATGGGATTGTCTCACAATTAACTCCACTTAGAACACCATAACATAATGGTGCGTTTGAAAAAGAGAAATTGAACTCTACTTGATATGGTTCGATCAATGATAAGCCATATTTGTGACACCCCAAAATAAGGTAAATAAATAAATTAGAAAGCAAAAAGAACAAAGAAAATAAAATAAAATGAGTTTTATTTTATTGGGAAAAAATATAAATAGATTTGAAAATTATATTAAAAATGAAGAAAAATGTCATATTAGGGGTGAAATGTGTAAAGATGTCAAAAGTAATGGAGCCAGGGGGCTGAATGCATTTTTATAATAGTTAAGGGTTAGGTCAGATGTTAACAGGTCCAAACCAGAAGGACCTGTTTTGTA